GCCGTAAGCCACTGAACGAAATATCAGAGTCTTCAAATATTGTTGTCAATCGAACAGACCACAATTGAGCCGCATAATCTAAAGACTAGTGCAAACTAAAAAAAGTTAGCTAATGTCGCCAGATACCACTGATTTACTCACACCAAAGTATGCCATCCCATCATGATAGAGTCGTGTGAGAATAGGTAATGCAGCTGAACCTCCTTCGAGAGAACGAAGGTTTTTTGCTTGAGAGGCATGGACGATTGTAGCAACCAGGATTATTATCTCGCACGGCACCTAACATTTGTTAGTAGAAGGTAAATGAACAAAACTTGTGCAAACAAAGGATAGGCAGGAGCCAGCGATGATCTTGGAAAGGTCGGGCGGTGATCCTACAAGAGTACACTTCCCATTGAACGAGCCAGTGAGTGCTATGAGATGATCAGGGCATGAGAGCAATGATAATAGAGTGCGTACGAGTGATGATGGAGAGCGCTCTTGTCCCCAAGCCAATCTGTATCGCGGCACTGACAAAGTAAATGGCGGTTATAAGTGCGAAAATTGGTAGCCTGTGCCGATACAGAGTGCATACTCTGAGGCAAAATATCGCTGGGTTTCAGTTAGAAAAGGCAAGGCGCAACCCGAAGAATATACCAGTTGTCGACAGAGATAGCGTGTATTCTAGGCCAATCCCAGCTACTCTTGCAAGTTTGCATCTGATGTACGATGAGACAATCACTGTTGAGTATAGCGCACGCACATCTGTCAAATTTCAGCAGAGCGCCTCACACATTACACAATTCTCATACGTTAGTCGAGAGGTCAGGTGCAAATAGTTCGATGAGTGCCATAGGTAAGCCGATTACTGGCGTATATCGTGTCTGACGCTTCAAATAAGAATCCGGATCTATATACTGGAGCACGCACATAGTAGAAGACGGATTTGCCTAGCCAGCCTCCACTAGAAGCCCATATAAAGCGGATCTGCCACGGAAATTATCAGCCTTGCCAATCGGGTCGCACTTTTGCGGACCTCTGATTGTAGAGTTAATGCATAGTCATAGAAGAACGCGGTGGTTCCAGCAACTGCAATACATCGTAGAACATGATCATACAAGACCAAAGTCTGCGATTCCATGCGCTCGAGTCGTGGTGCTGGATTGGAACAGCTGGCGGGCACGGACTGGACACCGTTAAATACTTTATATATCTTTGCTGCGATTTTAAATTTGAGCCCTTAATGGCCAGCAACAATTAAACGATAGCCTTCGCGCTATTCAGTTGTCCAGTGCCACAGCTTGATGCGACTCGATCGGAGGCGGCCATCGAGCAGCCAAATGAGAGAATGGATAATGTAAATTTCGCAGTTAAACTCTGCAACCATTCCCAATAGCTTTGGCGGGGAACAGCCTGACAACTTATGACTTCGCTTGGGGGTCTAACACATTTCGGAAGTCGGACAGAGGCGGTTACCATCGTCAAAGGTCTACGGCTGTGGGTTGTCTCAGCAGATGGGTGTTTCAAGCACTACATTGTAAATTCGGCCGATCGGTGATATTACTCCTTGTCACATGGGTTGTCATTATGGTTATACACTAAGAATCAGGATGATCTTGGCATTACCTTGGATTCACTATGCAACCTGGACGACCGCCTCGCCGACCTCGTTGCGGAATGCTTATTTACAGCGGCAATGGCCGCGACTCACATGAACCACTGGTCATCCGAACCTCCACTGGTGACTGCTTCGTTCCAGTGCTCGAGAGACCTCGCTCATGGATCGCCACTAGTACTTGCCAAAGCTGTCCATCGTGTAAGCTGGATGACTATGCGTGGATTCCGCCCACCAATCGACTCTCTTCATGCCGTACTCGTCCACCTGCGGGATGTACGTGCTAGGTTAGCCACCTCCGAGACTGTTCACCTGGACGTCTCCACATTTTTCGCGGCGGCGGCACGTCGAATATTCGCCTGCTCGATGTCGAGGCACCAATTGACTTTGTTGACTGTTCGTTGACACTATTTAATACGCACGAATGCACCGTCGTGGAAATGGATCTTTCCTAGATCGTGATGTGGGTCACCGGCGTTTTCATAAGTCAGGAACGATGGCAACGCACGATCCAATTGTTGAAGGTTTACCCTTTGACTCTTAGCGCTCACTAAATAGGCTTAGCCGATAGTAATAGCTCACGTCATAACTCAATGTATTTAGGGACGCGGGACGATGCGGCCGGACCTTACTGGTCTTGCCTCTCACCTCACGCGTCCTAGGTTTGCCACACTATAAACTGGTCTTGCCTCTCACCTCACGCGTCCTAGTATCAACACCAATGACAGGACTCCCAGCGGAAGGAACAGCAGTTCAATGGGTTTGGCGTAGTCGTACGAGAGATAAACGGCAGGTATGATGAGGAGTTGCCTTGAGTATAGCTGATTTGTCACTGTGGTCTCTGATAAACAACGAAGGCGGGACTGGTGTACCAACACGTCGAGCGACTGTGGTCTATGTAGGTCAAGGTATGCGTTGTGCGGGCCTTTCCGTCGCGTTCGTCGTTTATACTGAGCTCGTTAAGCAGTCTGACCACTTCTCCTCTCGGCATGTCCGTCGCGCCTCCTTCCGACTTCTCGTCTCTCCTCTCCGTTCTAGCCATCTTGGTCGTCAGTGGATACCTGTTACCCGTTTATGTGGCGTTGCATCAATTCGGCGTCCATAGAGAGTTCCTCGGCGTGCTCGAGAGTTCGATTGAACCGAGTGATCAACTTGCTGACACTCCGGTACTGTGCATTCAGCGAATTCTGTACCTTCTTTGCTAGCTCGGGTGGTAACAACTTATATTACTTTTCCCATCTCCCCATCGGGCAATGATCAAAAATCCTATCTACAATAAAAGCCCGAATTTTGAACACCTGCTACCCAGCCCTAGGCACGTCTCTACTAGCTCGACGATCCCATGCGTTGCGACGTGAGGTTCTGGATACTTAATATAACCAGCATATACATATTTCGGATGCTCGGATATCCATTCATCATGCTGCAACATGACGGTCTTTAGAGCCTGCCCATTCTCGACCTTCGTCATCGTCATCGTCCTCGCTTTCGTCGCCCAATCTTCCCCTTGAGAGGCCATCAAACCGCGCTGAAGTCTCGAGCAGGCACTTGCCGGAGGCTTAAATTGAACGTCGAGATGCCCTCGACCCTTCGGTTTACGGTCGCATTAGAAGGCTTGTCGGAGTTGGCAAGCCTCCCTTTGACAAATTCAGCGTCCCTCTCAACGGTAAGATTCTTAAACCCAAAAATATACTCTCTGAGAGCGCGTAGTGAATGATATCGCCCAAATACCTCCAGCTTTGGCTGCGGGTACCTCGACTCCCGCTAATTGAACGTCATGGACCTGTATCGCGCTGGACACTTCTTGCCACTGTCGTCGAGTTGTGCCAGAATGTAACTGGCAGCAATGACAGATGAATCGATCATCACAATGGCCTCACGCTCACTAAGCTGTGGTATTCGATCGGATTCAGGCCCAGAGGACTCGACGTCAATTGGTTCAGCCTGTCCATCGCGGCTTCTTCATCGACTCCCCACTCCCTCTTCATGTCCTTCGAGAGCAAACGATTGAGTGGTCGAGTGATCCTTGAGTATCACGTATCGATATCTTGACGAATGCGCAAACGACTGGGGAATACTCACGGCTCAGTCTGGTTCCCCGGGTCCAGCCACTTCAGCACCTTCAGCACCTTCTTGTCTTCTAGTACACCTCCCTCGTAGCTGCGGACATGTCCGACGATACTGATCTTCTCCACTCCTAGCTGCAGTTTTAACGCCGAGACCGTCAATCCAGCGTGTCAAAGACGAAGAAGGATTCGATTTACATCGCAAATATCAACCCAGACAAACTTCTTCAGCTCTGGATATCCGGGGATTGCGTCGTATGAACGATCCTTTTCGAACCTCGTCCGCGGGGAGGAAAACAAGCGTCGTTTACAGGTCGAATCAATAACGCCGACAGTCGAAAAAGGGGTCCTTACGGTTTCGATGGTCCGGGATCGTGTTGCGTCGGCCAGCGAGTACTACCTCCAGAGACAATCGAGAAGAGCCGTTCGAGGTTGCTTTGACGCAGCTGCGGGGCCTAAACAAGCGTCTGTTGGACGTCACCACTGTACGCTACAAAGACGGTCAGCAGCCCGTCTAAAATCAACAATGAGACGTACTCTTCATTGTGTGTGATCTTCCATGCGCTCTAGGTGCTAGCAGCTCTCGCGTCGTCCGTCCAAGACGACAACATTCGGTGGGGATGCGTAGATGCGGCGGGTGCCGTCTTGTATGATTGAATTGAGTAAAGAGAGTCCGTTTCCTTGAATTCGTGTTGCCGGAAAGGCGTGGTTTGGCGAGCACCTTGACGATCCTCTGAAGGCCGGCGGGTGAGGGAGCAGTCAACCACAATGACCCTGGATATGATTCCTAACAGGCCAGTTAGTACGATGAAACATCTGTGTGGTCTTTTGGGCATACCGTGTACTAAACGCGTTGGTGCTGGGTAACGGGATGTGGGATAAACGAGGGTGATGATAGAGCTGGGAGGAATCGACAAGACGGGTGTTGTTGATAAGAGACTGGCGTCCCTTGAGTGTGTCTTTGCATGATGGCATCATGCTCCTCGCGTCAGGCGGGACCAGGCCACCTCCAAGGAAAACGTCTCCCGCTTTTGCTCAAAGATCTGTGCTGGTTTTGTATCGTTGTCGTTTTTGCCACTAGATGAGTTAAAAAAACCCCCGTATTAGCTCTATTTGTCCGCATGAACGCTCTCCAAAGTACGTACCTCACTGTGGCTTCCTCATGCGCTCTGGATGACTTTGGATCGATGACTGGACGGGCCAAAATTTGAACGCTATCCGAATTCTGGCTGATCCCTTGGCTCTCGAGGCTGCAGGCTGTCATCGATAGTACGAGTGTCGTTGCTGTTCCATTGGCTTGCGCGTGTGCTCGCACTTTATACATTGGGCGTCGATAATTGCGTCAATGCGTGCAATCTACCGCGATTCAAATGAGTCTGGATTAAGAAGTAAAGAATTGTTAGCGAGCTGAAGCCGTCCAAACGCTCGCAACACGCACTCGACATGTGCGCCGTGTCTTCAAAACCAAAGGCTGTGCGTCACGTCAAGGAACAGTAGTCGAAGCGCGTCTAGGATGCATTCTTTGTGGTTGTGGTGATGCTCGGCGGCAAAAAAGATGCAGCGTGGTCGTGGGCGGGGCCAGGTGTTGCAGTTCTACTGGCGTGTGGTTTATCGTCCGTTATGACGGTAAGATATTTGGTGTGGGTTTCAAGTAGTGCTTGCGGGAATGCCTTGAACTTTGCCTCAAGGAGTGTTAGAAGGACCTTTCGGACATGGTCGAATAGCGCGTCGACAGCCTTTCCGTCGTTTTTGGATATTATTTTTGTGCATCCGCATGACTAACAGGATTAAAAAATTTGCATAACATAGGCTCCACGAGCCCCGTATAGCTTCGCTGCTCCGCTCCCAGGCTCAAACATCCTACGCAGTCGTCGCTGGGTCCAAGTCGGTCAACTGGAAAGTCGCCCCGGATATTCGAACTCTGTCTTGATGCCATTGAATCGTGGATGGCCTGATAAGATCGCCAAATCGGATCCAAGGTCAGCGCTGGACGTGGTCGAGCCCAAAGTTTGCGAGGTGCCGCTTGGACCTCAATATCACAATTTGTGGAGTATACGCTGGCAAAGAGGATAGCTGACAAGTCGATGATGAACAAAGGTTTGCGCAGATGTATTGACATCCATCAACAGCTAGAGCCGCCGTCCTTCCCGTATCTGAAGTCTTACTCGGCATACTCGGCAGAGGTTCAGCTACTGGCTTGATCAGGTCAACTGGACACAAATTATCTCCGATGGATACACAAGTTACCCAATCATCGTCTCGGCCTATGTGACCACGGATGCGTAGCTCTTCAGGACGACCATCACATATTCGCCAAATGTCCAGAATACCAAGGCATGAGAGAGGAGACCCAGATGAAATTGTCGAAAGTCACTGAAGAGGTGCTGGATAGCCAGGGGGTCAAAGGGGACGCACGTACATCTCGAACTGATCTAGCTAAGTCTATTCTTACCGACAATCAAGCGTGGGCAATTGGGAAATCACTTTTCTATCTAGGGATGATCCCGAGACTCGAGTCGTATTCGCCAAGAGTAGATGATCCTTTAATACAAAGGTGGCATGTTCTCCGCATTCAGTTAGCTGGAAGAATTTGGGGGTCATTGATGAGGAAACGAGACAAGGAGTGGAGGTCTACAAATGGAAGAGCGGTGCCGCGGGAGGAGTCCTAAGCGGATGTCTCATTTCATTGCATTTCTTTGCACTCCTGTATTTATTATCAGGTTCGACGGGTAGGGGTGACTCTACTTCAGCCTCACGGCTTAGTCGAATAGCAACACGACAAACCTGGACCCGACGCCCACGTTGACGAGCGCGTAATGCCAGCCATGGGCTCGCCAAAGAAGACTATAGACCACCTACGTCTTTCTCCTGTGGAACCCCCCGTTGGCAGATTCGCTTCCAGATGTATCCATCAAAATCTATTCTTGCTCGTCGAGAATCCGATCATGATGACAGATGAGTTTGTGACGTTTTCAGTAAACAAGTTCCGCGTGCAAAGGCTCGGCTGATCTGTAAACAACTCGAACAGACCCGCTCTGCGCTTTTCAACAAAATCTCCGTGGGGGCTGTGGCGACACGGTCGTTAATAGTCGACGTATAAATTGGTGGCATTACACTGCTTCTTTCGCTCACTCTGACACGAGTGAACCCGATGAAGAGAACGGCTGCGTGCATTCAGCGGAGTAGCGGAGGTGAATGGTACAGACAAGAATCCGATTAATTAGCAGGTCTTGTAGTGCGAATCAAGGGGTTGTCATTGCATTACTAGTACGTGCCAGTATCTCTCGAAAGGGGTCACCGAATTGTCAACCTGCTAATATGTATGCCATTGTGAAATATATGCTTCAACAGGCTCATTTATTTGCTATTTCTGAACGTCTCCTTTGCCGAGTTTTAGCCTCTTTAGGCGAGAAAAAGTGGCGGCCCATACCAAAGCAGCGTCTCCTTGGTTCGAGCAGAACCAACGAGGGACCAAGGAGTGCAATTCGATGAAATTTAATTGCTTGTAGTATGCAGAAATGCGTCCACGATGACCATCTTCAAAGGAGACGTCTGTCCTCTACTAGTATTCTGAGTCTTGAATACCGCTGGGCGCCCGAGGTGAGGCGGCGTGGATGTCGGATGCGCATAGTATTCCACGTTGAACAGCGAAGCGAAGGCTCGACTATTCGAGGACGACTCTCCAGATGAACCAGAGACGCGGTCGCATTGTCGTCGCAACTCCGTGAGGAAGGTCTCGATCAGTTGGCTTAACCAGCAAAAGATGCGTGTTGTACACACCCATCATGCAGACCAGAAACCCAATTGGGCGATCCTTATCGTAGGGGTCGCTGCAAAAGGAAGTCATGGAGACGCTGGCTCGGATTGCCACTCTCCGGCCCTGTCGCCAGCTCTAGACGCCAAACTGTTCGGCGGTACTATATAATGCTCGTCAATGACCACTGGCGCTCGCTGGAACATTTTCCAGATGGCCACCGAACAATCAACTTCTGCAATGGCATCCCTGTGGGAATGGTGTAACTCTACGGATGAGGGCAAATCAAAGATCGATGATCTTGGATTTCGCGAGTTATTCTCAGAAGATAATCCTGTTGTCGAGTACGCAGTCCGTCATTACAACTTAACCGCTGACGTCGCCGCATCAGCATTGTCGCCATCCACGGCTTGAACGGCCACAGAGAAAAAACGTGGACGTCAGAAGATGGAAAAATGTGGCTGCGCGACTTCCTGCAAGACGACTTGCCTCGTGTTCGGGTCCTCTCTTACGGATATGACGCCGATACGCACAGTCGAGAATGTGTATCAACCGAGACCATACATCGGCACGGTGATAAACTAGTCATGGCTCTTTCACGCGAGCGTAAAGACGCTTCTCGAGTGAGCGAATCTTGCTAGTTCGATGGTGTCTGATGAACCATCATTAGCGGCCAATCATTTTCCTCGCGCACGATGTGGGAGGTATTATCCTCAAATGGGTTCGTATGAACAAGGCTCGATACAAATGGAGCACTGACATCCTTGTAGGCACTCGTAATCTGCAACAATAAGGACCAGGATTCAGATGGAAATCTCCGAGATATTCTGGTATCTACATACTCCATCCTGTTCTTCGGGACACCCCATTTTGGCGTAGAAGATTCTCTCCCCGGGACAACTGATCGCCTTCTATCAATACCCATGTATACGACAAATGTCATTCTTAAAGTCCTTCAGCCATACTCGCCCGAGCTCGAAAACATACAGAAGCTGTATCTCGAGGTGAGCAAGAAAGTAAAAAACGTATTCTTCTACGCGGAATACGAGGCTCTTGTCCGAAATCGTCGAAGGAGGCTGGTCAGTATCAAAAGTCTGGAGAACGTGTTGGACTGAATAGACCACAGAACGTTCGAGCTCACTCGGCAGTCATCCCGGGTGACTGCAGTGCCGTATGGGAGGTACTACACAGTGACCATCAAACCTTAGTCAAATTCTCTTCTCGAGATAGTGACAACTACAAGACGGTGCTTTCCTATCTCAAGGAACATTTTAAAAAAGCTTCACGTGCAGTAGACGACAAGTGGCTCGGTTTGTAACCGCTTAACTCTCGAAACGTTTTCTGATCTCACAGTAGATGCTATGAGACAGGACCCCGTCAAAGCAGTTTCTGAGATTTCTCATCTATTCTTTGAGAAAACCATGGTACGGCATGCTTGATGTCACTACGAAGTTTCAATCTGATTATACCGTAGACTATAAACGAGAAGACTAAGAGTACAAAGTACTCAGGGATAGTCTTGAAGCACATATATCCATCTTGGATGAAGGATATCTCCAGACAGTCAAGGATGGACATATGGACCAAATGCCTGACGCGCTCAAGGAGTTCAACGATGCATGGAAACATTACATTGTGTATGGTCATGAGTCGAGCTTTTGAATATTTGGCTGATATTGTGTAGCACTCTAAGAAACATACTCGCCAAAATGGATGGGTTGAAGCGCAGTAGAGATCAAGGCGTCAAAGGATCTATCGAAAAGATCAAGGGCGCCAAAATTGACACAGGAGATGTTGCAGACTACAAACAGGAAATCTTACAAGCGACACGCATATGCAAGGTACGAGTACCCCGTGAAGCCAGGTTTGTATTGAGCTATTTGCAATAGGATGCGGCCAATTTCTGTCAAAATCAGCTGCAAGCGGAAGGTTAGTTTGATTTACATCAATCTCCGACTCATAGTGATTCTCGACAGTGTGGAAAGTAGCCCGACTCGAGCCTGAAAAGCCTCGTCCAATGGGCACTCAGCACAAGACGTGTCTACCAGGTACACGTATAGCGATTCTGCAGGAAATTCGGCAATGGCGTCTGGACCCCAATGCAGACAAGCGCATCTTTTGGCTCTGCGATGTTGGCGGGTCAGGAAAGTCCACGGTCACACTGACGATGTGCGAGGAATGGGATAATACCGAAAATGTTCTAGTTGGTCGGTTCTTCTTTTCGAAGAATGCTCGGCAGACATCGGAGACGGATGATTTCTGTCTGTCATCGCAGATGATATCAGTGGTCAAAACAAGATGATCCTGAAGCAAATAAAGACGATCAAAGAAGAAGATCCCAATCTTCTCCGGCGAGGCTACGCCATCAGTTCACCAAACTCATCGAAGAACCATTGCAACTTGCAGAGACGGATATTGTCCTCGTGATCGACGCAATGGATGAGTGCAAGAAGGAGATGAGGGTAGATTTGATCAACCTACTGGTTGAGAAGCTTTCATCAATGCCTAAACTCAAACTCTTTATAACGAGCCGGCCAGAGCCAGACATCACGGCGATACTCCAGGGTAGAGCGATTGTACGCGGAATGCATTTCAAGATGCACGGCAAAGAGCAGCAGTCCAACTTGGATGATATTAGGTCCTACGTCGACGTACATCTTGTCAAACTGCTTACCGCGCCTCAGCGCCAGCAGATTGTGGAACGCTCAAATGGACTTTTTATTTGGATCACGACAGCACATCTCGAGCTACGAGGGGCTCATGGTCCAGATGCACTTGGTGCAACTCTCAGATCCCTCTTGACGCGAGGCAAGGGTGGAGATATTAACCAGGTTTATACAAGCATCCTTCGTCGGCTACGACGAGAGACGTCCAGTGGCACTATACACAAGATTATGGGCACTCTCCTAACCTTGTTCGAACCAGTGTCGACAGAGGCTCTTGGGGAGATGACTGGGATTGCAGACTCTGAGCTAGAGCCGATCTTAGAGTCGATGCAGAGTTTATTTCGGGTGGATACTGTGGTAGAGTTTCTGCATCCAACGTTCCAAGAATACCTTCTTGGTCCACACAATGTGGATATGCCATTCAACTCGACAGCAATGCAATCAGGCTTGGCCGTATCTATCCTCAAAGTGCTTCAGGAGGATCTGAAGGAGGACATTTGCGGCGTTTCCCTGCCAAACAAACCTTATCCAAAGAATGCGGACATTGTGGATCTGGATAAACGTCTAGAACAATTATGGGCTGGGTCTCCAGCACTACCTTATGCGGCAAAGTACTGGGGCTATCATGTGAGCACCGTTGTAACGGATGGACATGTTGCCCAGATGCTGCGGAGGTTTTTAGCAAGTCAAATTTTGTACCTCGTGGAGCTGTTAAGCTTGATGGATCATGTACATCTTATTCGAAATTTCGAGGAGATTCGGCGAAGTTGTGAATGCCAAGGGTTGGGTGATGAGGTCGAGGTGAGCTAATGCTACATATGATATGTGTATTGACCGCAGTGACAATAGGTATGCCATGATACAGTTAGACTTGTCCAGAGGCATCAAGAAACACTAGAGAAGAGTGCGCTGGATATCTACTCTTCAGGGCTACTATTCCTCCCTCGAAAGTCACAACTGTGGACGATATACAAGAGCAAGTTTTCAGATCGACTACCAAAAATCATTGGAGGACCATCAGTGCATTGGCCCTCACACCAGACTTTGACTGGACATACCGATTCTGTCTGGTGTCTGGCCTTCTCGCCAGATGGGCACCGTCTTGCGTCTGGATCTCGGGATGGCACTGTACGCCTGTGGGATGGGACCACCGGTGCAAGCCTTGGGACGCTTGAGGGACATACCGATTGGGTCCAGTGTCTGGCCTTCTCGCCAGATGGGCGCCGTCTTGCGTCTGGATCTCGGGATGGCACTGTACGCCTGTGGGATGGGACCACCGGTGCAAGCCTTGGGACGCTTGAGGGACATACCGGAGAGGTCTGGTGTCTGGCCTTCTCGCCAGATGGGCGCCGTCTTGCATCTGGATCTCGGGATGGCACTGTACGCCTGTGGGATGGGACCACCGGTGCAAGCCTTGGGACGCTTGAGGGACATACCGAGAGGTCTGGTGTCTGGCCTTCTCGCCAGATGGGCGCCGTCTTGCATCTGGATCTCGGGATGGCACTGTACGCCTGTGGGATGGGACCACCGGTGCAAGCCTTGGGACGCTTGAGGGACATACCGGAGAGGTCTCATGTCTGGCCTTCTCGCCAGATGGGCGCCGTCTTGCATCTGGATCTGGGGACCGCACTGTACGCCTGTGGGATGGGACCACCGGTGCAAGCCTTGGGACGCTTGAGGGACATACCGGAGAGGTCTCGTGTCTGGCCTTCTCGCCAGATGGGCGCCGTCTTGCATCTGGATCTTGGGACCGCACTGTACGCCTGTGGGATGGGACCACCGGTGCAAGCCTTGGGACGCTTGAGGGACATACCGATTCGGTCTCGGGTCTGGCCTTCTCGCCAGATGGGCGCCGTCTTGCATCTGGATCTGGATCTTGGGACCGCACTGTACGCCTGTGGGATGGGACCACCGGTGCAAGCCTTGGGACGCTTGAGGGACATACCGGAGAGGTCTCGTGTCTGGCCTTCTCGCCAGATGGGCGCCGTCTTGCATCTGGATCTGGATCTTGGGACCGCACTGTACGCCTGTGGGATGGGACCACCGGTGCAAGCCTTGGGACGCTTGAGGGACATACCGGAGAGGTCTCGTGTCTGGCCTTCTCGCCAGATGGGCGCCGTCTTGCATCTGGATCTGGGGATGGCACTGTACGCCTGTGGGATGGGACCACCGGTGCAAGCCTTGGGACGCTTGAGGGACATACCGGAGAGGTCTCGTGTCTGGCCTTCTCGCCAGATGGGCGCCGTCTTGCATCTGGATCTTGGGATGGCACTGTACGCCTGTGGGATGGGACCACCGGTGCAAGCCTTGGGACGCTTGAGGGACATACCGAGAGGTCTCGTGTCTGGCCTTCTCGCCAGATGGGCGCCGTCTTGCATCTGGATCTGGGGATGGCACTGTACGCCTGTGGGATGGGACCACCGGTGCAAGCCTTGGGACGCTTGAGGGACATACCAGGGAGGTCTCGTGTCTGGCCTTCTCGCCAGATGGGCGCCGTCTTGCATCTGGATCTGGGATGGCACTGTACGCCTGTGGGATGGGACCACCGGTGCAAGCCTTGGGACGCTTGAGGGACATACCGGGAGGTCCAGTGTCTGGCCTTCTCGCCAGATGGGCACCGTCTTGCATCTGGATCTGGGGATCGCACTGTACGCCTGTGGGATATCACCACCCCACCCAGTTTGGAACCTCCTTATGCACTCAATCATGTTCCCAGGCATTTATATTTCTTCCAAGGTGGACATTTCTTACATGTGGACAATGGACCAGTACTCAATGTCTCCCACAATCGCCTTCAGTCACTCTCATCTCCATGTCCAAGTGTCACGCCCAGCCATGAGCATTCCACAGTAGCTGTTGACTACACCAGTCAGGAGCTGTGGTCTGTTTGTTGTCCATACCGTAGATATCGGATCCCTGATGAATTTGGGATGCAAATTTCCACCAAATGGCCCTAGATAAAACTGCCCTAGCTATGGAGCATGGACAGGTCATGGTCATTGATTTTGGAAAATTTTCTGATCCACATGCGCATGCTTAACCAAATTCGTGATGTATTCCAAATTAAAAACCTCAAAATGCAAATCCATCTGAACTCCAGATGATAACTAAATGTTATCCAATTTTTAGACTGTCTATGTGGTAGTGGTCAGGGTAATAATTGCAGCAGTCTGCCTCAGCATGATAGTCCTGGTTCAACCAGGCAAATAATCCACACTGTACCAACCTGGCCCCCCTATTTCCCCAAGGGAGAACAGAGGCCTTATATACCTGTTGATTATTAATCTTGGAATGTTCTAGAATATTCTCAAGAATACTAGTTAGAAAGGCCTGACTAATCTCTGCGGCTCTGCTTACAAATGGCAGCTGCATGTGATTACAACAATGACTCATCTGTGCATCATTTGGCTAGAAATATTATCACCAAAGCCACAATTGTGCTCGCGTTGTGATCTAATGTATAGCAAGGATTTGTTGATACTAGGATGTGTGAGTTGTTATCAGATACAAATTGTAGAGCCTTAGGCAAACTTAGTCTCTGAATAAAATGTATCTTTAGATAAGCTGGGATACACTCTTTTGGCTTGAGGGTAAAGCTCATCAGGTTAACTACAAGGTCTTGAGAAGGACCTGAGGCGTGTTAGAGTGTCAGGCTCTTCAGCTTCTTCCATCTTGATGGCTGTAGAGTCATACTCCTCTTCATATTCGTCCTCATCTTCATATAATGTATTGTCAAACTTGATTCTGAAAGGAGAAGCGTGAGGAGGCTCATTAGAATCCTGAATAAATACATCTAGGTCAGATGCATATTGATCGCAATGCCTAGTGCATTCAGGATCACTAAGAGGCTCATAAGAGCGACCTGCATGCATTGAGGAACTTGCTAGATTAATTCTGTTATGATTCTCTGAGCAATTCTCCTCTCCCCAAGTGGGCCTCCGTGCTCTGATAGAGGTCATATTGCGATATATTGATCCAAGTATTTAATAATGAATTTACACAGTTGTATTACTTGGGAGAATCCGTGTGTACACAGTGCTATTAGTAAGAAGACTATCTTAAGTACTCACTATGAAGATTCTGATTGTCGTTAGGTAAGTTCAAACTATCTAGTTGGCGTCCTAGTAGTCTCAGTCTGGCTG